CATCCAGTGCACGCAGATGTGGATGGGACTGCTCAGCACCACTGAAAAGCCGGGCTGAATAGAAATTTCCATGCTGATGTCAGATAGGTGGCACACAAAGCTCAGCTACAGCTTCTGGTGGGGGGGGGGGAATGAACTGAAGGAAAGAAAGAGGCTGATGTCACCTCAGTCTTGTGCTAGGCAGGAGACAGCAGGACTCCAGCAACTCACTGGAGTTTGGGCTTCTGTGACCGCCGTTATCTTGTTATCTCACGTTGGCGGCAGGAAGAGAAATGATAAGGCTCAGATGGTGCCATTCATGGTCCTCAATAAGCAGTGCAAGTGTGAGTCCCTTTGAAGTTTATTTGTGATCCTGCTGAGATCAATACCTTGGCTTGGCAAAGAGGAGGGAAGAATCAATCAGAAACCTGGGGAAAAGGACTTTGGAAAGAAAAAAAACCTGTCTCTTTAGGTTTTGGGGAGAAACGCCTTTCCGTCCCAGGAGCCAGGCACTGGGACTGGCCCCTGGAGATCCAAACATGCATAGGCAGCCTGTGATTGAAAACCCTTTTCTTTTAGGGTTTTGTTGCTGCTGTTTGAAGTCAGATTTGTTTTCAAAGGGGCTATTTTGTGTGTCCGTGGTCACATGCGGCTCTCAGTCCTGCAAGGAAATCTTGCTGGGAAGCAGCACAGCACGCCAGGACCAGGTTTGATGGATGGGCGGGGATATCCTGAGATCTCGCTGCAGAGGGAGGATGTTTTGTTGCAGGCAGGACAGAGCTGATCGGGCTTCAGCCTCCTCATTCTCGGACAAGCGTGGGAGCTGCCAAGAAGGATGTGGGTCAGTGCGAGCTTGCACAGGGTGCAGGCACGTCTGCTCCTTCCCTCCCATGACGGGGGCAAGGACCTCATCAGCTGTCCTGCAAGATTCGGCAGGGCTCATCTGCCAGTGCCCCCTGGACAGATGGGGGGGGGTCAAAGGTACTGCTAGCCTTGAACTAAGCTGCCCTCCTCCGTCCGGATGTTAACTACATTGCAACACCAGTTAGAGGAATTTGAAGGGTCAAATTCCTCCGGAGCGTAACATCATTGAACTCCGTAGGTTAGACCTCCAGTGAATTTGGAGCAGTGTTTTGGAAGCCTGATACCTTAACACAGACCTGTTTAAAGGAGTTAATGTGTGACTGGCTATAAACCATCTGGAGCACGCAGATGGCCTGCCCTGTTGGAGCTGGTTTCAACAGCTGGGACCCAGTGGTCTGATGTAAATCCAGAAGAAAGCTGCTGAGGGAAGAGCAATTGCATTTGCTTGCATCATCAGGAGAGCAGGATTAGGCCTTTTCTCTGCAGATTTCCAGCAGGATGACTATCCAGAGCTTTCGCTAGATATGTGTGTCCATATTTGAAATGCAGCCGACATGGCGTTACTAAAATAAAACCCACAAATGTACCATGTCCGGAACCATTAAGATTAAGAGCTACTAAGTAAGAAAAATGTCCGAACACAATGGGCTTATGTAAAATCCTTGACTGTTTGAAGTGCTGCTGGCTGATGTCCAGATGCCATGGAAAATCCACTCCTCTCTGCGCAGTTTGGAGTTTAGGATACAGCTGAATTAAAAACTAAAGAGCCTCTTGCAATCAAATTAGTTTTTATTTAAGTACTGCACCATAGGATCACATGCTCAGAGCCACTGTCTGTCAGTGGATGCAGCCTATGTAACTGTTCCCAAATTCATCCTGTGGATTGACATGGCTTCCTCAGACCTGGGTGAAGCAGTGTTCACTGCTGTGTGCATCTCCAAGGTATAAAGCCTTCAATAATGTTTTAAGTGATGCTGGCTGCTGCTGCGGTGAAGCAGTGACAGCAGCTACAGCTGCACGGCTGCTGGGAAGGTTTTGACTCTTGCCTGCAAAAGGAAGCTGCCGACTTGCCCTGGTTCAGGAGCGTGCAGTTCACAACTGTCTCTCATGATTCTGGATGCTCTTACTGCCTGCAGCTGCATCCTCCCATGGCAGAAGAAGGGTGAAATAGCAATAGGAAAGAGGACTGAAGGAGCAGAAGAGGAGATGGATGATAGCAGAGACTGTCTGCTGCAGTGGGATGCTCACTTGAGCTCTGCCACACAAAGTGGCTATATCAGACAGGTGATTTTTTGGGGTGTAGACAAGGCCACAGAAACAGAACTGTTCACACCTTTTTTTCTGCCCTACCTTGCTAGCAAAGTCATGCCTCTGGCAGGAGGGTTGTAGAAAAGCTCATAACTGATGTTCACAGTGGTTAGACTTTTTCCAAAAGGCAGTGTTTGATTAAAAAAAGTAATGAGAAATCTGGAGTCTCACTGGCACCTGCAAGCCTTGCAATTCCTCTATGCCTCTGCTTTGCCATGCATCTGCCTCTGTGTGCTGCTGCCTGCCCATGCCCTTACAGCTCCGTGTGTGCTTGGGAACCAACCAGGAGCTTCTCAGCATCTCCTGGCAAGCTGCCTTCCTAAGGATCAAGATTAA